GTCTCAGCCTCCCGAGTAACTGGGATTACAGGTGTGCACCACCAGCCCTGGCTGATTTTTTGCATTTTTAGTAGAGATGGGGTTTCACCATATTGGCTGAGCTGGTCTCAAACTCCTGACCTCAAGTGATCCACCTGCCTTGGCCTCCCAAAGTGCTGGGATTACAGGCGTAAGCCACCGCACCCAGCCCCAAGCACGTTTCTAATTGCCTGAACCACTCTCCTGGTGACAAAATTCCGCTAACTGGTAAAAGCAAAAATTTTACCTCTGTCCTGTCAATGAAGAGTAACTGGTGCTAGTGCCTTTTGAATTCTCCTGGGCATCTTTTTTCACGTGAGAGTTTTTGGTTTATTAATCTTCTTGTAGAAAATCCACAATGGCCGCAGATAACATCACTGCCGCCCCTTTACTCCTTTGGCTGTGATCCAATCTCCAGCCTACCTTTTGCCACCAACAGTGGCCTTTACAGTCCCCGTAATTTCCTTCATTCTGCTCTTGCGTTCCTTTCATTGTTTTTTTGAGGTCTTTTTCTTCTCACACAGGCCATGTCTTTCAAGTCTATGTTTGGGTTTACTTTTCTTTGCATAATCCAAGGAATCATAAATTATGCCAAAGCTAGTTGTTTTCCCACCACCAAAATTAGTTCTAAATCCAAATGCATAGATGATATTCAGTGTGGTCTTGTACATTTTGGCTAGTTTGTCCTGAATTTCTATCTTAGGTATTGTTGCCTTCCCAGGTGAAGGACATAGATGACCATTTGTTTCCTCTGAAGTAGTCAGTTGGTCATGACCTTCCTAGTTTGGATACTTACTGATTCATTCGTGATGGCGGTCAATCCTCAGACAGCCAGGGAGGAAAAACCCTCATGGACATCTTAACACAGACTGGAGGTCCAGAAACCTCCAGGTCAGGTCTCCAAACTGGTTGCTTAGCTGCTAGCCTTTGGTGAGACCTAGGAGGATGCATATCCTCAAGCTTTATCTACTTATCTGCTAGAAGCCATTGGCCATTTTCAGTCTGAACCCATTTGCTGTTTTGATCTTCTCAAAGGGGCACTTACACTACCTAAAAGAAACATTGCCAGTGCTCTCCTGAAAGAGGGTATTGCAGACACAGCAGTAAGGGATGCATGCAACTTATATAGTACTCAAGCAACAGAAGTAGTGGGAACATAAGTTTGAATTGCTTTTATCACCCTCAATGGACCACTTGTTCTGAGGTCTCCTCTCATGAATCTAAGATCCTTAGATCCTGGCATCTGCAGTCCAGATCAGATGGTGACAAGTCTGGGAATGGGTTCTATCACCAGAGCTGAAGGATCCCTCCTATCTGAGCACATCTTCCTAGAACAGCATGTGGTGACAGGTTTTTGGGGACCTTCTTGCCAGAGAAAAGCAAGCCTGATGAGGCACTTGTAGTTGCTCTCCAAGGCAGGACGCATTTTGCAGATTTATGAAAACGTTCAAACAGGTGAATGTTGAAAAATGATACCCTGAAGTTTCATGCCCACATCATCATCTGTCTATATCAATGAACAACCTATCATCAGTTGTGTTGAACCCCCACCCCTCCTCCTTTCCACCACCATGAGATTTTTTAAAACCGCCCACAACAGTGCTGGATTACACGGCGTAAGCCGACCGCACCCAGCCCCAAGCACACGCCTTTCTGATTGCCGTGAACCACTCTCCTGGTGACAGACATTCCGCTACAACTGGGCTAAAACGCCAACAAACAATTTTACCTTCTGTCTGTCAATGAAGATAACTGGTGCTGACGTGCCTTGTGAATCATCTGGCATCCTTTCTTTCACGTGAGAGTTTTTGGTTATTATCTTCTTGTAGAGAAGATCCACAATGGCGCAGATACACAGTCCACGCCGCCCCTTTACTTTGCTCTGGCTCGCGGTCCAGTTTTTGCAAGGCCAACCAGTGGCTTACAGTCCCGTGAATTTCTTCTGATCTCTGCTCTTGCGTCTTTCCCATTGTCTCTTTTTTGAAGGTCTGTTCTTCTCTCACGACAGAAAAGAAGAAGAAAACAACCAGGCCTATTGTCTTTCAAGGTCTATGTTTGGGCTTTACTTTTCTTCATACCATCCCACAGGAACAAATTATCCAAAGCTAGTTCACACCCAAAATTTCTAACTCCAAATGCATAGATGATATTCACCGTGTGGTTCTTCGGTACAGTTTTGGCTAGTTGTGTCCTGAGTTTCCGTATCTAGGTATTGGTTGCCTCCCAGGTGAAGACATAGATGACCATGATTGTTTCCTCTACAAGCTAGTCAGTTGGTCATGACCTCCTAGTTCAGAGATACTACTCAGAGACCAATAATCAATAGGAAAAATATTGCTCAATCCTCAGACAGCCAGGGAGGAAAACAACCCTCTGGGGACATCTCAACACAGACTCGGATGGTCCAGAAACCTCCAGGTCAGGTCCTCCAAACACTGGATTGCTTAGCTGCTCAGCCTTTTGCCTTGAGACCTGGAGGATCATAACTTCCGTCAGCTTTATCTACTTATCGTGCTAGAAGCCATTGGCCATTTTCAGTCCTGAACCCATGTTGCGTTTTGATCTGTCTCAAGAGGGGCATACACTACTACAAAGGAAACATTGCCCGTGTCTCCTGACAACGAGGGATTGCGAGACCACAGCAAGTAGATAGGGGTCTCCACTTATTAGACCCGTCCCCAGCCAACAGACAGCTAGTGGGAAGAAAGCACACCAAACAAAAAACAACAAAAGGGCAACATACATTTGAATTGCTTTATACCCTCTGGCATTGTTTGGGTTATTCTCATTAGAACTAAGATCGCATTAAGCATCCTGGCAACTGCATCACAAATCAGATGGTGACAGTCTAAGGAATGAGACACTAATACACACACAAGCTGAAGAGATCCCTCCTATCAATGAGACACTCTTCCCTAGAAAGGCATGTGTGACAGGTTTCTTCTAGGGCATTCATTGCCCAGAGAAAAGCAATGCCCTCGCATGAGGACACTTGTAGTCATGCATCCCGCTGACGGCAGGACGCCATTTTTGCAGAATTTAAATCGGACACTTCAAAACAGGAAACGGTAAAACATCGCAATACCCTAGACTTTCAATCGCCACACATCATCATTGTCTATATATCCAATGACAACCTATCCATACAGTATGAATACGTTGAACCCACCCCTCACTCCTTATCCACACACCATGCGAGATCTTTTAAAAAACAAAGATTCACAGCCCGGGCACCGGGTGGCTCATGCCTGCAATCCCAGCACTTTGGGAGCCGAGGTGGGGAGGATCACAAGGTCACGAAATCCGAGACCTCACCGCTGAAACCTCGCTCTACTAAAAATAATAACAACAAAACGTACCGGGCGTGGGGCGGCGGAGCCCCACTGTAGTACAACCAGCAACTGGAGGCTGAGGCAGAGAAACGGCACGGAACGCACCAGGAAGGCGGCAGCCTTGCAAGTGAGCCAAAGATCGCACCCACTGCACTCCAGCTCAGGGGGATGAGAGCGCAGACTTCTGCCATCAAAAAAAAAATTCCATACATCCACATGTGGAAATGTAAGGGAGATTGCTTTGAAAGAGAAGGCCCATCTTTCGACCTCTTAATATATTCTGTGCAACGATGCCCCACATTTTCGTTTTGTCCTACAGGCCTTGCAAATGGTGTAGTTGATCCTGCTTCAGAACTGAAACAAGCAGAGTCCACACGGACATTTCAGCTGTTCTGCAGAACCTGGCATCTGCAGTCCGGGTCAGACTGGTGACA